ATTGCGCCCGGATCCGGCTGAATTAAGCCCGGATCCGGCCGTATCGCGCCCGGATTCGGCCGGATTGGACCCGGATCCGGCCGGATCACACTCGGATCCGGCAGGATTAGACCCGGATTTGGGTCCGGAAATGTGGCCGCCGGGAGTGACCTCTGAGTCACCGCATCTCCATCGTTGTTGTTTAGTGAGGGCTGCTAGCGAAACGTTGATGTCCTGGAAAGCTTTTAGAAAGATTTCCGTGGATACACCTTTGTTTTTCTTTTTCCGATGCGTCGACTTACGGGGGGAATTCCTTTTCTTACTTGGGTGACTTGATTCACTGGATGAAAACTCCGATAATATCCTGGGAATTCCGGAGCATTGATCAAAAAATGACGTTGACTGCGAGTCCGTGGCCCGAATTGGGGGAGGAGGCAAGTCAGTCACCGTGAGTACTGCCCATTCTGCACGGGTGGAAGCAGGAAGCTCGGAGCGCGATGAACGCGCAGACGGGGCCGGTGAGGATTGAATCCTTTTACCGCTCCGTGACTGGTCGTCCCCGAGGGTTGCTGGAGCCAGCAGACCGGGGGGACTAGGCGAAGAAATTCCCGTGACACCACGGGAAATCGACGCCGGGTTGCTAGGTGACGCTGATGGTCCGGAGACCGGCGGCGTGATTGAGCGACTAGTGGTCCCTTTTTGGGTCTTACCCTTGGGACCGCTGGTGGCCTTTGATGCGGCCTTTTTAACCGCGGGACCCTTACACGGGGAGTTTTATCCCCGGTATCCTCACGGTGTTCCATACCGTAGGACGTATGTTTGATGCCGGTCAAAACGCGTAACACGGGATGACCGTTACAGACTACGGCGATGTCCCTGCGTGGGGACTCACTGCTATCTCGTCTTTTCGTACTATTGTACTACTGAGATAAATGCAGTTGAGAACGGCCGAGGGGAAGGGAACGACCGCTGGTCGCTGTACCCCACGGAATTTTTCTTTACACGCCAGGCGAGGCAGCCGAGGGAAGGGAACGACCAGCGGCTGATATACCCACGAATATCTCGCCGCTATCTCGTTTGTCGCCGCACAACCGAGATAGCTTAGGACGGCCGAGGGGCAGGGAACGACCTCTGTCGATATACCCAACGAAAAGTCCTCTTCTAGCTTACTAGCTCCCCGAGCTAGCTGAAACGGTCAGGGGGGAAGGGAACGACCTCTGTCGATATACCCCCACTGCACTCGTCTCGCTAGGCCCTAGCTCACCGCGAGCTTAGGGGAAACGAACGGAGAACAGGGAACAGCCGAAACCGCTGTATTCTTCGAAACGTTTCGCTAGTCCCCTGAACGGCCGAAAGTCTGACTTCCAGAACAGGGGCCCCACGTGTGGGGCGAGTAGCAGACCTTGTGGAGAATAACCGCACTTCTCTCCGGGGATATACGACGCACTCTCTCCCCTAAAGGTCTTTACGTATTCGTCCGTCTATGGAGTCATAAACTAAATGCACTGCTTTTTTTAATATTTTTTTATGAAATTATTATTTTTGACAAAGAAATATTATTATTAGATAACTGTACAACAGAAATAATAATAATAACTCAGGAAAGCCGACTCGGCTAAAAGGGGATTGCACTCGATCCCAAAGGGAGAACCCACGATGCCTACCCGGAATTGGGCTAGTCCCGCGGTGCCGACCTGGCCCGCCGCAAGCGGTGTCAGACAAAGGCTGAAAAACCTGCTACGCCACGTGAAAGAAAAACGAAAGCAAAATGACTCCAAAATCACTCCAAATGAGAACTACTTAACTCAAATCAAACTCTACAGTATTCTACACAACTCACTTGGTTGATAAATTCTATAAAACAGAAACTCTTAAAGCGATAATCGTACAAACTCGTCAAAAGGCGAGAGCAAAACTTTTTGCTTCTGCACGATGCCGTCGCTAGAAAAAAAGAGGAAGCATAATGGCGGATTCACGACGTAGCATAATGGGTAGGCCCCGAGAGGGCGCTCGTTGGTTGATTAAATCTTTTACCGTTTGAGCCTGTTGGCTGAATAAATATGCATATGTTGTAGCTATTTGGGTAAGTGAATGAAGTAGACTTGTTGAACAAAATGGTTGGCAACATCTAGTTTTTGACATTTCTAAAAAAAATTGGACCGAAAAGGAATTTATGAATGGGAATAAATGTGTGTTCGGTCGGTATTAAACACTCTGTTTAAAACCGGTGCGAGTCTGGATGGGTGATAATTATCGCCCATCCAGACTCAAACCGGTCTTAAACAGAGTGTTATAATACCTCCCAAACACACATTTATTCCCTTATTCAAACACATCAGGCCCTGGGAAGGACAAAGACTCCAAGTGCTTGCATGCCCCATTTGAGGGGAGAAACAGCACATCAAGGAATGCTACACAGCAACATGACTGATTGTCTGTGATGGTAGTTGCTACAATGTGCAAAATAATGATGGATAAAAATACATGGGGTGACCAATGGGGCAAATGTAACTCCACTGATAATTGTGGGAAGTGCCTTTTACTGAGGTGGGAAAGTGCAGCTCCACTGAACAAACAGGTCGTTGTGAAAGACGGGAGTATGTTTTGCCGAGATGGGGAAGCATTGCTTCGCTTCATAAGACAGGGGATGACGACAAACAGCATGGGTAATCATATTGTAGAAAATGTAAGTTGCCAAAGTAGGGCAAGTGCTGCTCCACTAAATCTTCTTGCCAAACTCTATCAAAACTCACCGCAGAATACTTTAAGATACCAAGATAACTACAAAAACTTAGCTTAGCTAATGCTTAGGAATACGAAAAGAACAGAGCAAGTATTGGAGCCACTGAAACACATATCTTTCCTTTAGCACGCACCAAAAGAAAAGAGGATTGTCATGGTGTGCAGGCTGCAAGGTACTGTGGGAAATATAACTTTGTGAATGTTTAACACCCTCTGGGGTAATATTGCTTATGAAATAGTAGTATAAGGGTACAATGTGCATAGTAGAATTATAATTTCAAAGGGTCCGTGAAATGAAATTTTCTTATATACATATTTTATGTAACTTTCTACTCCTCTTAGATAGACTGGTTTGTGGATAGACTGGTTTATTAAAAATCATCCTGGCGGCACATGCCAAATTAAGATGACAATACAATGTTAAATCATTAGAAACAAACAAATCAATTAATACAAAATTTACACAAAATGCAATAAGATACGGTCCCCATTAAAATTGTAAAAAAAAGAAACCTTAAAAGTGTTCATGTTTAAAATACGAATGTTTAAAATAGGCCAAACAAAAATATGTGTCTGAAGTCTGGGCTGCGCTGCAGTTACACATGTACATGCATACATCTACAATAAACTTCATGCCCAAATTTCTGACAGCGCCTCCTGTAAAATTTACAAATTAAAATAAGTGTAAATTGTTATTTCTATTCCAATGAAACCCCCATCAGACTGTACACATCAACTTGTTTACATTCTATTGCTAAGCCTCTGGGGTAAGCTATCCTTCCTGTTTAGAACCTCAGTGGTATAAGGAGCAGTTGAGCAGTTGAGCCCCAGCAGGGGTTTCGCTTGAATCATAGCACACAGGACGCAATATTTACAGCCAAGGCTGCACACTTACTGAGTGCGTATATGCGGCGTCCGTTCTACTGTACATTCATTGACCTAATGGTAGCCTTTGACACCATAAACAGCTCCTGGCCCTGGCAATCTATCTGTACCGGCCTGCTCAAAGCCCGATCTATTGCCAACCAAGAAGTTCTAGAGGCCCTCTACTCATAAACAGCGGCTTACCTCAGCTCAGATCCAGCCAAGATCCCATTCCCAACTGAAGCCGGTGTCAGACAGGGCCGTGGCCCAGAGTCGCCAACGTTTTTTTGCCTGTTCATGGACTGGCTGATGTGCGAATTTGAGGTTCGTGCCCGCACAGCTGGAATCACAGGCTTTGAATTCAAATTCCTGATACCCGGCCATGCTACCGACTGAACCGAACGAGCTGCCCATACACCCTACTGCTGGCACACTGGACCTGCTTTGGGTTGCCTTTGCTGATGACATCTTACTGTGCTTCCAATCCATAGACGATCTACGCCGCGGCCTATACTCCTCCTGGTGGAACTCCTGGATGAATACAACCTACATATCAGCTAGGCCAAAACCGAAACGGTAATCCTCAACACCAAATACGACCCTATAGTCACCAGCTACCCGGAATTACTCCTGGACATCCATGGAATCGCCATCAAAAACAGTAAATCATTCCAATACCTTGGCAGCCAGCTGATAGGATCAGCCTGCCACTGGCGACTTTGAAATCGATGTGCGCATCAAAGCAGCAAACACACATTTGGCAAGACAAAAGGTCTTCTCCAGAACTACCAAATAGCGCTCCACACCGCATGGTATTCTTTCAGGCATGCATTAGAGCATGAGTAACATACGCATGCAAGACGTGGACGCTTACGAAAGCACAGGAGTGTCACCTCACCTCAAACCACACCCTGCTCTTGCACCGCTTAGTCCGCGGTGGCTTCCGTCGAGCTCCAACAGACGAAAACGAGCACCACTACAAATATGAACTTTGAGAATTTTGGTGGCTCAAAAGCAAGCCTCCCTCCAATTACTACACAGCCTGTGGTTGGAGCAGAAAAATTGATGCTTGAGTGCTGGTCCCAAGCAAAAGTTACAATGTACCTTGCCCTAGGTGAGACAAGTCAAGGATGACTCAAAATCCAATGCATCAAATATAATATTAACTAACTCCAGCATAAGCTAGAGCTAGGACTTTAGACTTCATTTGAATCAAGTACAGTGTACAAATCTCCTAATCCTGGATGAGATATACTTGAATATTAATTGAACATTAAATGAAAGAGAACATCTGAGAACATCTGACATCATGAACTGCCAAAGACGAAATCAATGTACATTGCTCTTTTTGAGTGAAAAAAAAAAACATACAAGAACAAATGTGTTGATAGCTAATAGACTAAGTGTATTGTTACCTTTCTCTCTGCTTTAGTTGGTTTGCCATCTGCTCGGTCCATTCCATCAAATATCTTGCAGTAAAGTGGATTCTTCATTGTCTTAGGGTCATCTTCAGGGGGAAGATGGGAGCGCACTGCTGCTGCTTTAAGACGATACAGCTCGATGATTAAATGAACAGATGCTTCTCGTACTTCACCAGCTGTATGCTCCAAGGCACGCTTTGCAAATGCCATGACATTGTCAACACTCAGTCCACTAAAGAGGTAGAACAAAGGGGCTTTTTAGAATGATGGTTAGATAAACCATGCTGTGCAAAATTAACATTCTGTGCAAAAATACTGGTACTTCATGTGTGGGTTGAGTTCTAAGTCCTTGGAAATGTCAGGACTACCAAGTTTCAATTCACACGCTCACACGCCGGACAATCATAATCACATGCCTAACGCCAAATTGTTCAAAAAATATAATTTGGGGTTGTTTTCAGGACCAGAATAAAGAAGTGTGTTTTGTGTTAAAGTTCAGCATTTTGGCCAATTTGTTTTGTGTGCAAAGATCATTCAGTGCCATTCAGTGTGGTCGAGACACCCTCGTCCCAGGGGCAGCCAATGGGTTGTATGTATAAAAACTAGCAAATGCTAGGAAGTTTAAGCAAAAAATAAAAGCATTTACTTTGGAGTACAAGCATTAAAGGGAATGTACAACATTTGCTCTTGCTGTAATTTTCAGTAGTAAATGGACTTGGGGGATTAGAATGTTATGGCAACTATTATTAAACTGACTTGTTTCACGCTTTGGGCTTGAATATGCTGAAAAACATCATGTTCTTGTAGTCTATTTCCCTGACCCCACTTAAGATGAAACAGAGCAGTTTGTTGACTTTGGGGAATTGTAAGGGCACAGAACCAGTCCGACAGGCTTGCAAAAAAAAAATGCGGAAAAATTAATTATGAACAATTAAGAGCAATTTTCGAAAAAAGCCAGTTTTTTCCAACGCTGGTCGGCCGACCAGCATTGGAAAAATTCCATTTTTCTTAGAAATGTCATCACACCAGGAGCCACGATTTTATTGGGTGCTTTAGAATGTCGATCCCTAACAATCCAGTAATTTATTTCGTGATAGTTTGATCATTTCGTGTTTTGATGTTTGCAAATGTTGTATCTTCCCTTTAAGGAAAAGCAAATTTTATGCTTGATTCTGTTGACTAAAAGCTTTCCTTTACTGTTCAGCATTTACTAGAGTACAGGTATCAAATGCTTCTTGCTGTTGGATTGTTTCATGGATGAATGGTTGTCAACAATAGGGTCTCTTTTGTGTGTACAAACTGCCACACACGGAGGGTTCACACGTAGGGTACGGTAATAGTCCAATTCAAGGTGATGCATACAGTACATGTAGTACATTTCATCCTCAAATCCAGCAAAAATCATGACCCTTTTTGCCAGTTGCAGAATATAAAAAGTATATTTTCATCATTTATGAAAATTGTAAAGGTCCACAGTGTCCTGTAGACTTCACATTTGTATAAAAATCACAGACATGTGTTAAAGCAGGTAAAAATCATACCAACATTCAATACACAAAGAGTTTTTTTTATTGAAATATTAAAAAATTAACAGTTTGCAAAGATTGGTGACCTAATAAACTAAAAAAATTGATTTCATTTTGTTCATGGGTGCTGTTGGATAAAATGTATCCTTAATCATTTTATGCCACACTGAATTTTACGCAAACACTTCTCATATTGTAAACAAAATGCAAAATTAACTAGTGTTTCTTCTAGTAATGAAATTAATAATAAATATATAAAAACTAGATGTATGTTTGTGGACAAACACAGGGCTGTTTCGGTAATTTTTTTGTGCTGTGTGACATGTAAAGTTTCAAGTATAAGTTCCATCAAGGAAGGATGTGTAGTTCTGTTTATAATAAATGGTGGCATAAAATATGTGATTATATTCTCATAGGGCTTTGAATTATGACGTCACATGTCATGTGATGACGTCATGATGATGTCACATCAATTTTTATGTATAACTATAATTTTATGGTAAAGAACATCTTAGCCAGAGCATACATCGTTGAAAGCAAGTTCACATCGTTCACCAATTTTAAATTACAAGGCACTTCTGGTTTCAACCGGAAGGAAGGGTCACGTGATTTTGCACATAATATAAACAATGAAGACCCTGGATTATTCTATCCATTCCCGCAAATGTTAAGTTCAGGTTGCTCACGGTTGATTTTATAGTGATTTTCAAAGATTAAATCTAATCATCTTTAACGTGATGTCACGTGACCCATGATGACGTCATCGTGATGTCACTTCAATTTTCATCTATAACACATCCCGGCTTAGGTACATACCAACTTTCAACCCAATCAGATATGCAGTTCTATAGATATGGGCCTTCAAAAAATGCACGTTTAATATGATGTCACATGTCATGTGATGACATCATCGTGACGTCACTTTATTTTTCATCTTCAACACTTCCCGGTTTAGGTACATACCAAGTTTCAAGCCAATCGGACTTGCAGTTCTGGAGATATAGGCCTTCAAAGTATGTTTATTTTATATGACGTCATATGTCACATGATGACGTCATCATAAAGTCAAGTTAATTTTCATCTATAAGACATTTCGGTCTAGATACATACCAACTTTCAACCCAATCGGACCTGTAGTTCTGGAGATATAGCCCTAATTTGTCAGATCTAGCCGAATTCTGCTAGAAAATGGTCACAATAGAAAAATCGCATATAATGTGACGTCACGTGACTCGTGATGACGTCATGATAACGTCAATGTTCGGCACACATCTTCAGATGCTGGTCTAAGTGTGTGCCAAGTATAAAGTCAATCGGACTGATTTTATTGCCCAAAGTGCCTTCCACTGTGAAAACGTGTACAAATGCTATGGGGGATGGCTGAAAAAGAAGAAAAACTAGAGCTATGTCTGTTCGAACAGAACATAGGGCTTTTTCGCATCAATGTTTATGTTATGTTTATCCTTTTGCAGTCACTTTTGAGAGTGCTTGATACAGTTAAAGGTTGTTCAAAATACTTCAAATAATTCCAAAAATAAAGCTTTATCACATGACATCACATGCCCTGCGATGACGTCATCTTGACAACACATGTCAATGCACATTTTGTCATTGTGGTTTTGGTTTGTACCAAATTTAAAGTCAATCCAATGAAACGAAGTGTACAATTTTGGAAGCAGAATACAATTTTAAAATTGAAAAAAATTATAAAAAATCAAACGATGACGTCATCGTGACGTCACTTCGGACTTTGCATACTAGTACCATTATCTACCTAACCACGAAGTTTCATGACGATCGGACCTTCCCTTATATGCGTTTTACAAAATTGCATTTTTGATGACGTCATTATGATGTCACAAATTTTTCAAATGTTTGTGCATATACCTATTAATTAACAAACCAAATACAAAAAGAATTTGGAATTTTGCATGTTGCGTTCATGAGATATGGCTTAAAGGTCCAAAAATTCAAAAAATCATATAAAATTGCACAACGTCACCTCAAGTTTTACCTATAACACTTCCCGGCCTACCTACATACCGAGTTTCAACCCAACCGGACTTACCATTCGGTAGATATAGGGCCTCAAAATATGCACGTTTGTGATGACGTCACGTGACCCCTGATGACGTAATCATGACGTCACTCTTCGGGACACAACTTCGCCATAAGGACAATGCATATGCTTAACTTGAATGATGTATGACAAAGTTCAATGCCAAAAGTGGTGTGTACAAAAATCATGTGCATTGTCTATGGGATTTGAAATAAAGCTTAGTCACATGACGTCACATGCCCTGCGATGACATCATCTTGAAAACTATCCTCAATGCACATTTTGTCATTGTGGTCTTGGTTTGAACCAAGTTTAAAGTCAATCCAATGAAAGGAAGTGTGCAATTTTGGATGCAGAATAAAATTATAAATATTTCAAAAATCATAAAAAATCAAATGATGACGTCATCGTGACGTCACTTCGGACTTTGCATACCATTATCTACCTACCCACCAAGTTTCATGACGATCGGACCTTCCCTTATATGTGTAACCCGTGGTTCACATTTCAAAATAACTGGAACCAAATTTTGTATTAATTCAACTCCCTTTTGAAAAAAAGAACTCTTGACTTCACACAATTCAGGATTTACGTACACAATGAAATATGTTTTATTGCTAGAAATAAAAGTGGTCTCAAGCAATGGCAATACAAATGAAAATGCAGTGAGGTTAAATATAATTCACAGAAAACACAGGATCCTGTAAAATTTAAAATACAAGCTAGAGCTCAGAAAAAAAGGCGCCAAAACTATAAAATGATTAAACTCGCGATTTCGTCCGCGGTAGTTCGGAGTCCATACATCAGTACATAGCGTAGAGTAGCTTGAAGACAATTGAAGAACGATGTGACAAAGTAGACTAGTTGATGAAAGGTTCAGTTGAAGATGAAGTAGAAAATGACGACTCTCGTCATTTGTCGGTACAGTAAAACAAAGGGATACTTGCGAGGTCTTGAAAGATGAAGTGGCTTTGTCTAGGGCAATGCTGGTGGCTGTGTCTAGCGTAGGGCTGATGGCTGCGTCTAGGGTCACTCCAATGTCTTGGATGCCGAAGGTAATGATGGTTCTCTGACGTGCTGGACAGCTGTTGGTCTCGGACGTCGGGGATACCGATGGATCTCAGAAGTGCTGGAGCAGGCAATATGGTGTCTTGGGGGCAGATCGGGAAACACGCAGAGGGCTCCGCCTAGCTCTCCCTTGAAGTGACACGGTCCAGTCTTTTTTAGCCTAAAACAGAGAGTTACATGGTGGTCCATGCCACATTACTAATATTATCTAACACTACAAAGTCAGACTAAAATGGCTGACTTTCTACATGTAAATAACACACTTCCGTAATCACACATCATGTGCGAAACTTTAAATTGAATGTTAACCTACATGTTAATTAACATGCACAGAAAAGCTCTTCATTATAGGAAAATATCAAATCAACTTGTTGTCTAGTACTTCTCAGACAATAATCTAACGTATTCACTTTGAACGACTTTAAAACCAGGCACGATCAAAGGATTACTTTTCTCAGTCTCGTACATGAGACACAAATAAAATAAAGGAACTCCACCTCTTAATTGAACTGTTTATGTACGGGAAAACTAACTCCCAAAACTTGATCATGAGATAACCTCAAATGTAGATCTCTAAGT